TCACATGAATGATCCCTGATGCTTGCTTTGCCCTCATTATTTGCCCTTCTGGGGTGCTGGCTTGATTAAGACAACCCCACAATAGCTTCGCCTATTCTCTTGGAGCTCTCCCACAGCCCGTGAGGGAACTTGAAGAGTGAAGGTGTTCCCACAGAGGGCCACTCCTCCCCACTCTTCTCTGAGCCATGCACAGTCCTGCACCCTAGGTCACTGCTGGGGAGGGAAAGGAGATCCTCTTCCCTCCTTCCTGGAGGTCCAGCACCTCCACCTTCAGACATACGGCTGCATGGGTCTCTCACATGTCTTTTGTGTGATTGTCCTTTGGTTTATGAATATCCTTTTCATGTGTCTTCGTGGGGAGAGTCTAAGGGAACAGCTCACTCCACCATGATGCTGACATCACTCGTAAGACTTCAGGGTTTTTTAGAGCAGGTTGTGGTTTACAGAAAAATTGGTTGGAAGTTAGTTCCCCCAAACCCATCTCTCTCCATCCACACAGTTTGCACACCTTTTCACATTTTGTAGTACTGTGATACATTTATTACAATTTCCAAGCCCATATAGATAGATTATAATGCACAGTATATATTGCTATTCACCCTTTGTGTTATACAATGTGTGGGTTTGGCAAATGTGTAATGACGTGGACCCATCATTTCTGTATCATGGAGTGTAGTTTCGCTTCCCTAAAACTCCTCTGTGCTCCACCTATTGACTCATCCCTCCCTCCAACCTCCAAATCCTTCACAAGTAAAGATCTTTCTACTCGCTCATACTTTTGTCTTTTTCAAAATGTCATGTACTTGGAATCATACACTACATAGCCTTGTCACATTGGCTTCTTTTCCTTAGCAACAGAGTTTTCAAGTTCCTCCATGTGTTTTCATGGCTTGATATGTGATTTCTTTCTATCCCTGAACAGTATTTCATTATGTGAATACACCAGTGATTGTTTTTCTCTACTAGAGTCTTGAAGGACATCTCATTTAAAATAACTCTCGCCAATTATGAATAAAGTGCCTGTAATTATTCACGTGTAGGTTTTGTGTGAACATAAGTTTTCCATTCATTTGGAAAAATCCGAAGGATTGTGATTTCTGGATCTTGCTCTGTGTACTAACAGTGTATTTTGTTTTGAAGGAAATTTCCTGTCTCCCATTAGGTGTCCCAAATTCCACTTCCACCAGCAATGAATGAGGGTTACCTGTAGCTTCACATCTTCACCAGTGTTTGGTGTTCTGAGTTTTAGCTTTTTAATGTTTTTAATGATACCTTGTTGTATTTGCAATTTACTAATGACATTTGACGTGCAGCGTATTTTCATATTGCTTATTTCCCATCTATATGTCTTTTCCAGTGACCTCTCTGTTCAGATCTTCTGCCCATTTTTTCATTGAGTTGTTTGTCTCCTGACTTGAGTTTTTACAGTTTGGATGTTCCAGATACCAGTCATTTATCTCAAAGGGTTTTACAGAACTTTTCTCTTACTCTGTGAATCGTGTTTTTGTTTTCTTAACAGTCTCATTCTCAGAGCAGGAGTTTTTCACTTTAATGAAGTAAAGTGTTTGTTTTTTTCTTTTGTGGACCTTGCCTTTTGGTTTTGTCTCTAAAGATTCATCTCTGAACACAAGGGCATCTTCATTTTCTCCTATGTTATCTTCTTATAGAAGTTTATTGTTTTGGCATTTACAATTAGATATGTGTTTTGACTTAATTCTTCTGAAAGATGTAAGGCTGATGTCTCCATTCATTGTGTCTGTGTGTTTTTATCATTTCCTCCACTACTAAAAGACTTTCTCTTTCGTTTGACTTGCCTTTCCGTTGTGAAAATCACTTGACTATATTTGTGTGGGTGTACGTGTAGAGGAATTGACTCATATCCTCCACCCTTGCTATACTCTTTTATTAATTCCTGGAATTATTTTTGTTGTTATGAATTCTCTCAGATGTTTCACAGAGACAATTGTGTCATATGGAACAAATCTTGTAAATTTAGCTATGTGTTTTGTGAGGACGTTTTTCTTTAAGGAGGGCAATGTGCCCTCTATCACTAGTTTATCACAAATGGATGCTGTATTTTATCAAGTCCTTTTTCATTTTCGTTTTCCCCTCATTTCCTTTCTGATATTAGTAATCTCCGTCTTCCATCTTTCCTTTATTTTCTTCACCAAAGGTTCATCACTTATTAGTCTTGTCAAAGAAACATTTTTTTGTTTTAATTTTCTCCATTGGTTTCCCACAATGTTATTGCTTTCTTTTCCAATTTTTATTATGTCCCTTATTGTCCTACTTTGGGTTTAAGTTGGTTTTCTTTTATTGTTTCCCAAGGTAGATGCTTATATTATTGATTATAGATCTTTGGTTTTCCAATGTATGTATTTCATGGCATAAACTTCCCTCTAGGCACTGCTTTTGTTGCATCCAAGAACCTTTGGTATGTTGTGTTTTTATTTCATTTAGTTCAAAATAATTGTTTTGTTGTCACAGGACTTTTTTTTTTCATCTTGTTTACTATTTAGAAGAGTGTTGTTGAATCTCCAATACTTGGAACTTTTCCAACTATTCTGTTGTTACTGACTTCTGGATGAATGACAATGTGTTGTGAGAGCATATTTTATTTGATTTCTGTTCTTTCAAATTTAAGGAATGCCTTATGTCCTAGAATGTGGTTTGTCTTAGTGAATTTTCCAAGTGAACTTGAGAATAATGTGCTTTGCTGTCATTTATTTCACTTGTCCATAAGCCTCTCATTACCAAATACATCATTGTTAATATTATTTTAAACAAAGTGTCATCTGTTATATTAATTATAAGTAATATAAAAATATGTTTTATCTTCATTTTTCTAATCATTTACCTTTATCATTTACCTTCTTTCTGGTTGCTTCTGAACACTTTAAAAGTAGGTGTACTCATGACAAATTTCCTCAATTTTTGTCTCAGAATGTCCTTATTTTCTTTTTTTTATGAAGGATTATTTTCCTTGACAGAATTCTAGGAGAGTTTTTTTTTTATTTTTAAAATGTGAAATATTTCACTCTATTCTGTTCTTTCTTGCCTGGTTCTTGAAGAAAAGTCCAATTTAATTCAGATCCTTGTTTCTTGATACCTGAGCTGTGTTTCTTCTCTGGCATTTTTCAATACACTCTATCTTTGTCTCTGCTTTGAATGTGACACCCTGGGGTGTGCACTTTTGTAATTAATCATGTTTAGTGTTCTTGATATGGACCCTGATATCGGGTTTCCCTACATTGAACCCAGCATGTATGGGGTTAAAACCAAAACACTCTTTCCCTGCTTACTCCCGGGCTTCCTGGCTCCAGAATCCACTATCCTCCATGGAGACAGACACCGCGAAGGACAAGCACCTGGATTCATTTATCTCCTCCCCACAAGGAGCTACAGGCTGGTGGGAAAGCTGCTGAGCAGCAAGGTCACGGGCTCCCTCCTCTCTGCAAGTGTCTCAAGGCCGAAGACAGGGTGGTGGGAAAGCTCTGACCAGCAAGGCCATGTGCTCCCCCTCCCCTACCTAAAACCTCAAATAGAAAGCCTTTCTTTTAGCTTTTTGGCAAGTTTTGGATTTCAGCATTAGCGGCCCTTTGTCCTTGCTCAGCACTGTGCAATAATAAAATTCCTACTTTCTTCCACTATACCTGGTGTCAGAGATTGGCTTGCTGTACTGTGGGTGAATGAACTCACTTGAGGTTTGATATCATTCTCTGAGCTTCCTGGATGTACAGTGTGCTGGCTATCATTAACTTTAGGATATTTTGGTGATTATTACTTCACTTGTTTCTTCTGTTTCTCTCTGTCTTCCTTTTCCTTCAGCTATTCCCAACATATCTTTTTAAAGCTTTTGTTAGAGGGTGGTCCTAGGCTTCATGGATATTGTGTTCTTTTTAGTTCTTGTCTTTGCATTAGACTCTGGTGAAATAGATTTTCTGTTTAGCACCGGCCTTGATAACTGCAGAATCTCTGGGGCTTATTTCAAAATGCCATCTTTTTTCTCTTCTTCTAAATTATGGAGACACTGGCTTACCATATGACCTCATGGATCTAAGAAGAGTTTTTCTTTTCAAGCTTGTTCTTTTTCTTCTTTTTCTGTCAAGAATAACAACTTCTAAGTTCTTTAAATACAGGATCAGAAGTTTGCAGGGCATCATCTAGAGTATCTGGTCCAGAAAACCATCCTCTTAAAGGTGCAGAATGGAGATTTTAGCTTTGCTTTTGAAGAAAAGCACTGTTAGGTCCTTCACATATTTTATAGTGATGGGCAAATTTACCATCAGGCCATTGTGAACTCGTTGCATTTTGAAGTTTTTAACCTCCCTCTCAAGACGAGCAAGACCTAGGGTACACTCTTAATGTTTGACCTGGAAGAGTTCTTATGGCACATTATTATCTCATTGTGTGTTGTAAAAATCGGTGGGGAGTAGCCTTGAGACCCATAAGTATAGGGATTTTATGGTCTAAGTTGTCATGCCTTCTTCCTTATGTCTGAGCTCTAAGTTCCAAATAAATTTTTAGCCCCATCAAATCATATATAGAAAGGAAGAGTCTATGATAAACATTACACAAATTAAAAGCAATGCTGCTTCACAAGAATATTTACATTCAGCCACCTGCATCTGCTTACTTGTAATGATGGCCTGGATGGTAGCACAATGCGACTCCTTGGCTTTGTTAAAAGTTTGATTACTGCCAGCTCCTGGACTCTGTTTGGTGATGGGACTGGACACAGGAGCTTCCAGTTCTTCACTATGTTTTTATCCATTGAAACTTCATACAGATTTGACCCTCTGCCTCATGGAGTGCTGTAACTGGTGGGTAATAAGAAAAGATGAAACAATTTTTCTCACAAGGAACCATCACTCTTAAAAGGATAACATTTGTTTCATTTGCATAGTATTTCTCTAATAGCTGAACATGCTCTGGACTCTGTAAACAGAGAATAATGCAGTGTTATCACATTAAAATGTGTAAATAATTTCCATGTGTTCATGATGCTGTTAAATTGACAGTGTGTGTATAGAAAAAGTGAGTTTTTGATGACCATAGATTTAATGTTTAGAGATAACAGAATAAAATGTAACCTTCCTACAAATGAAATATAGGTCCTCAGTGTTGTTACGCATATGCATCCTACTCTGACCATATATGCGATGTTTTAGGACTCAGTGGCCATTGAGGATGTGGCTGTGAACTTCACCCCAGAGGAGTGGGCTTTACTGGATCCTTCACAGAAGAAACTCTACAGAGATGTGATGGAGGAAACCTTCAGGAACCTGGCCTCAGTGGGTAAGAATGAGGGCATTCCTTCACATCATCAAGGAGGGAACAAGTGTATCTTGCCCATCAACGTGGTTCCAAGATGTAGAATGTGGAAACAGGAGATGTTGTGTAACAACTAGAAATGGGTCCTAGCTTATCATATACTTAGAATATAAAAATTTTTCTATAATTTCTAATATTTGGAATAAATTTTCTGGGTCTGCATTTCAGGAACAACATGGGACGATCGTGATATTAAAGATCAGTACCAACACGAAGAGAGGAAGCCAAGGTGAGTCACACAATAGAAAACAGTGTCTTGTGAGAATTCTGGTATTTTATGAAAATTTTTTACAAAACAAATCAAATAATCCTTGCTTCAAATTTAGCTATTCTCAGAACATTTTCACAAAATATACTCTCTGAAATGTGATGTAGAGGTTCAGTTTTTGCAAAACAGTTCACTTGGAAATGTATTAACAAATCCTATATTTCAATATAATTGTTTAGATAATGACAAAGGTGAAGTTCTCTGGCAGTACATTTAATTTCTGAGCATTCAGAAAAGGCAGAAAACCCAGACTTTTCCTATAAGCCATAATAAATGTAAAAAGTATAAAGGCATTCATGAAGAAATCATTAAAAATATGCTTCTCGGGGCCAGCCCCGTGGCCGAGTGTTTAAGTTCACACGCTCCACTGCAGGTGGCCCAGTGTTCGTCGGTTTGAATCCTGGGTGTGGACATGGCATTGCTTGTCGAGCCACGCTGAGGCGGCATCCTACATACCACAACTAGAGGGACCCACAACTAAGAATATACAACTATGTGCTGGGGGGCTTTGGGGAGAAAAAGGAAAAAAATAAAAAAAAAAAAAAAATTATGCTTCTCTTTTTTTTTACAGGAATCCTGTGGTGGTGAGATTCTGTGAAAGTGAAGATGGTAACCAATGTGGAGAAAACTTCCGATGTGTTCCAAACCTCAATCTGAACAAGAAAACTACAGGAGCTAAACCATGGGAATGCAGCGCATGTGGAAGAGTCTTCATGCATCATTCATCCCTTTATAGGCACGTTAAATATCACCCTGATCACAGACCACGTGACTATCAAAACCATAGAGAGAAGCCATATAAATGTAAGGAATGTGGGAAAGTCTTCAGATTTCCAAGTTTTCTTCAAATACACGAAAGAACTCACACTGGAGATAAACCCTATGAATGTAAAAAATGCAGTAAAGCATTCACTTATTCCTCTTCTCTTCAAATACATGAAAGGGGTCACACTGGAGAGAAACCCTATGAATGTAAAGAATGCAGTAAAACCTTCAGTTGTAATAGTTCTCTTCAAAAACATGAGAGAATCCATACTGGAAAGAAACCGTTTGAATGTAAAATATGTGGTAAAGCCTTCAGGTTTCCCAGTAACGTTCAAGCACATGAAAGAACTCATACTGGAGAGAAACCTTATGAATGTAAAATATGTGGTAAAGCCTTCAGTTTACCCCAAAGTTTTAAAATACATCAAAGAATTCATACTGGAGAGAAACCCTATGAATGTAAAGAATGCAATAAAACCTTCCGTTGTAATAGTTCTCTTCAAAAACATGAGAGAATTCATACTAGAGAGAAACCTTATGAATGTAAAAAATGCAGTAAAGCATTCATTTCTCTCAGTTTACTTCAAGAACATAAAAGAATTCATACTGGGGAGAAACCATATGAATGTAAAACGTGCAGTAAAGCCTTCACTTCTTCCAGCTCTCTTCAGATACATGAAAGAATTCACACTGGAGAGAAATCCTATGAATGTAAAGAATGCAGTAAAGCCTTCGGTTCTAATAGTTCTCTTCAAAAACATGAAAGAACTCACACTGGAGAGAAACCTCATGAATGTAAAAAATGCAGTAAAGCCTTCACTTCTTCCAGTTCTCTTCGAGTCCACGAAAGAACTCATACTGGAGAGAAGCCTTATGAATGTAAAAAATGCAGTAAAGCATTCACTTGTTCCAGTTCTCTTCGAGTACATGAAAGAATTCACACTGGAGAGAAACCCTATGAATGTAAAGGCTGTGGGAAAGCATTCAGTTCTTCTGGTTCTCTTCAGAAACATGGGAGAACTCATACTGGAGAGAAACCCTATGAGTGTAAATTATGTGGTAAAGCCTTCCGTTTTCCCAGTAACATTCAAGCGCATGAAAGAACTCATACTGGAGAGAAACCCTATGAATGTAAAGAATGTGGGAAAGCATTCACTTCTTCCAGTTCACTTCAGAAACATGAAAGAATTCATAATAGATAGAAACCATTTCAGTGTAAAAACGTAGTCAAGTGTTTAGTTTTCTCAGTTCACTTCCACTACATGAAAGTCGTCACACTGGAGAGAAATCCTGTGAATGTCAGTAAAATGAGAAAGCCTTTAATTCTCTTGAAAGTTTTCAAGGATATGCGACAATGCACACTAGAGGAAAATCCGTGTAAATGGAAGCAATACGGGAAAGACCTTTGTCATCCCAGTTCTTCCTGAAGACGTGAAAGGACTCACTTGATAAAAACCTCTTGAATGTAAACACCATGGGAAAGACTTCAATTGGCCTACATCCTTCCATGTGAAACTCCCACCAAAAAGAAATGTAAGTCATATGAGAAAGCTTCATGGAAATGAATTTTATCTAGTGTTCTGGAAAACTTTCAGCATGAAAAGTTGTAATGATATTGTTTACCAAGCCTCTTTCTTAAGTGCAACATTGGATTGTGGATTTCTATTAATAACTTTCACAAATAATTATTGAGGTGAAATAATACTCTAAGTCACCCTTCAATACTGCATAAACACTAATAGGTGGTGCTTTTTTCATAAATCAGTGAATATTTTCTGTAATTGTTTTAGTTCTTCTATGTTAAGAGGCCATTGAAAAGTGACAGTTTCTAGTCCTTGGGGTTTCTTTACTGACTGTATGTTGCAGTTCCAGGATATTCCTAATGTGTTGTACATATTCCACATTTCTTAGAGAAAGCTCCTTTTCTGAGGTGGTGGGTATAGGAGCCTGCGTGCATTTTCTATTCTCCTGAACTGTTGGGATAAATTTTTATGTGTGGCAAGATAATCAAAGTAGATACTTTCCCGTGAATTCTTATTTTCCTATTTGGGCCTTTGCTCTTTGTCTTCACTGGTATTTGGTGAATAGACTTTGAATTAAGTAGAGTCTTGTGATAGAGCAGCAAAATCTAGAGCTGGACCTATCACCCCAAACTGCATTATGTCAGTGAGGGTAAATTTATGTACTGTGTCTTTAAGAATCCATTGCCTTTAAGGTTCCATGTTGGGATTAACCTAGAGCCTGCGATTTGAAAGTTCAGAAGCAAACAAGGCATTAGGCAGATTTTGGAGCCACCATGCAAGGAGAGAGCGAGTTACGTAGGAGCTTCAAGGACACTGTCTCCCAGCGATTATCTGTATTCTTTGCCCTTCTACTCAAGAATCTTGAAAACCATCCACAATTGTTTCATTTCCATTTCCTTATAGGTATATTTTCTGCTGATGTTTGCAGAAATTTCACATCAAAGACACATAAGAGTTAGGATTTTTCTGTGAGGCCTGTTGTCCCCATCAGGAAACTAATTCAGACTTTTCTGGTGAGGACTCTAATTCCCCTCTTCTATAAATGGTATCTGAATAACGTCCAATGTGTGTAGGAAACACTTAGCTGTTAATTGTGGCAGTGAGCACGTTTTCCTGATTCACCACCACAACTACAATGGGGCATAAAAAGAAGGTCCTGGGACGTTGTTTGCTGCTCTGTGCAGCGGCTGCCTTGACCCACTTCTTCCATGAGAACAATCCCCTTCTCATGTCAGGGAGACTGTGTGTTTCCTGTTACTTGTAGCTGAATGTATTCCCTTTATTTGTTTTGAATAATGTTTGTATGTCATTAAAACTGTGCATTTCCTTGAGAAATCAACACTTCTGTAGTTGTGTCATTGATATATTTTATAACCTACTTTTCATTTTCTCAGAATATATTAAAATTCATTTTAATCATGGATTTTCAGATATACTTTGCAGTTTTCTTTATTTAATCATCATACGTTATGAGTCAATTTTATCGTGTGCTTACAAATTCAGGTATTTCTTCAGGCAAACTTTATTTTTTATTGTTTTATACTTGCAGTTTTTGTCATGAAACTAACATCTATTTGTCCTTATTCCAAAACTAAAAAATCCTGTTTTTTTAGAGGCTCTCTTCCAGTGACCTGCAGGGCTGCACCTGTAGTCAAAGAGGGGGAGATAATGAATTCTACTAAGATTGACGGAAGATGATCAAGGACTGTGAGGTTTAACAGAAACAGGGTGCTCAAAAGAACTTCTTAAAGATTTTGACCTGTGTTAAAAGATTTGATTGCTATTCAAGGAAGCAGGTCATTTTCTGTATTGACAGCTGTGAGGAGGTCAACTTAATTCTATCTTTGGGGAGCATTTTCTCATTGGTAAACCTAATCCTTGTTTTCTAGAAGGCAAGAACAATGTAGTGAAGCTAAGCTTACTTTGTCAGCCATTTTAGTAAGATGAAGGGAATATTATTTTTATGACTTAGAATTTTATCTTTTATCAGTTTAACTGGCATGGTTGCAAAATACTTTGTGTTCTCTTTAGTGACTCTAAACTTTTGCTGAAGGATGTATGTGACACTTTTCTCTGCCACTGGATACAGGCCACCTTCTGGTCCTCTGGAACAGCTTTTGCCTTTCCTACTTATCGTCAAAGCATGGATGTAATTCCTATGGTGAATTAGACACTGTTTAGCATACGGAACCTGAATTAAAATATAGAAGTTCAGTTCTTCATCTACATAATATTTTTAATAGCTCCTGTATGTCTCAACTGAGGCCTTTGAGTTTAGGTAAATCGTGAGACAATACAAACCTAGGAAGGGACAGAGACAGGACCACTATGCCAATCAAGCCTTTCTTTCTGTGCTCTTGATGCTAATGTTTCAGCATCCCTCACCTGCCTGCACTCTAGAGTCAGTGTACCCATGTAGCAGAAAGAAGGCATGGTAGGGTTTGGATATAGTGCCATGAAAGTAACAAGTTCCTGCCATCCTGGTGTTTATATGTTTGTGGGAAAACAGAAGTGATTAATAAATGGTACAGCTTTATCTTATAAGATGACAGTAACAGTTGAAGAAAAGTAAAGACTAACGTTGAGCTAATAGGGAGGCTGAGATGTGTATGTATCTTTTCTGTCATGGTGGGAGCCTCAGAAAGTCAGGATGTCATTAATACTATTATCTGAGGCTTCCTGTTTATTTAAGCCACAGATATTTGTTATGTCTTCTTCTGTTTAACATCATTTGTGAGGATTTTTGTTTTACCTTTAAAAATTTTCCTTGTGGGCCGGCCCTGCGGCCGAGTGGTTAAGTTCGCATGCTCCATTTCAGCAGCCCAGGGTTTTGTCGATTCAGATCCTGGGCACAGACGTGGCACTGCTCATCAAGCCATGCTGAGGTGGCATCCCACATGCCACAACTAGAATGACCCACAACTAAAAATATACAACTATGTGGTTAAGTTCGCATGCTCCATTTCAGCAGCCCAGGGTTTTGTCGATTCAGATCCTGGGCACAGACGTGGCACTGCTCATCAAGCCATGCTGAGGTGGCATCCCACATGCCACAACTAGAATGACCCACAACTAAAAATATACAACTATGTACTGGGGTGCTTTGGGGAGAAAAACGAAAATTAAAATCTTTAGAAAAAATTTTCCTTGTTAGAGTGTTAGGCATTTTCATGTTGCTGCTATACAGACTGAGTGTGCAACGTACACCCCGGTAAACCATGGAGTTCCTGCCACTTAGAGAGACAGTGGCCTTCATCTGCACTGTTCTAGGTCATCCTGAGTGAATTCTATGAGTAGAGTGACATCTACGTGAGTGCGCTGTGATCTCCCCATGGAAACACCACAAAGCTCTGGCTGGTTAGAGGCAACCATCCCAGGAATAATTGAGTGAGCTGCAGAGAGAGGGTGTAATTTTGAATAATATCCTAATTTACTGTAAAGAGAGAAATGGGAAATTTTCAACCTCTTTTCATCACAGGAGTGGCTGGAAGTTTTTAGATTCAATGATCCACAGAGCCCTGGAGCCCAGGTAGCTGTGCACAGGTTTCCTTTCCATGTGCTTAGACGTCCAGCACGTGCTGTGGGAAAGTGGGAAACAGCAGTAACAGCTTTGAGGTTTAAAACAGCAATGGGAATGGGATGTTTTCCACTTTTTAGTGTTAACTTAGGTATTGGAGGGGTTTGTTTAAATGGGCACCACAGGAATGTTGTTTTGAAGTCAAGGTGTTTTTCATCTTTAGGTGGCAGTATTTCTATACGTTTGTAAAAACTCATGAGTGCACATAAAATGTTTTTTATATGTTTATATTTGGTTATTCGTAATTATTAGAAAATGAATACTATAATTGCTTTCATATACTAGGAGAATGTTAAGCTCTCCTGAGCCTTGATATTGATGTGTTCAGCTCTTTTTTCCACCACTGTGGATCCTTCTTATGAAGACTGCAGGACTCAGAAGGACTCAGTCCTCAACAGGACTTCCTTGCAACCCTGTCTTCATTGAGAAAACACCCCTAAGGTTGCACCTGCCCTCATCTCCTACTTATAAGTAACACTGAAGTAAAAGGGCTCCCAGAATCTGTCCTTGAGATTAAATTGGGTTCTGTGGACAGATGTTTAGAAATACTGTGGTTCTAAAACAAAAAGGTGTATCCCAAATGGGATCTGCCTGAAGACATCCTCATTCATGTGCGTCAGCATCGGTTCTTTTCACTGCCATCCATAGACCATTTCCAGCTCTTCATTTCCCATCTCAAGCCTACTCTGTGCCTGCTGACTTGGAAACATCTTTAGAAATCCACACATGTCCCACTCTGAAAAATTTCTCTGAGGCAAAAGGACGGGGCTGTGAGGTAAGTGGGTGACAAGCAGTGGTAGAACCCATGTCATGGGCACATTCTGTCAGCCACAGTGACCACAAACATCACATTCTTACAACACTTAGAAATTGAGTGACTTTGAATTGGGAAACAAAGGGCTTTTTTGAAATAGCTGTCCTCCGTTAGCATCTCCCTTCACACCCCTTTACCATAAAGGCTTCAGCAGCCTCCCACTATGCATCCAAGAGTCAATAATCAACTGCTCACAGTGGACATATGTTGCCCAAGGCATTCTTCTACCAACTCTATTCTCATCCATTTCTGCTCACGATTAGAGAAGCCACTGATGGGCACTAATTCTATGTATAAATGGAGGCCCTCTCAAGGCCTGAGTTCATCCTCTGCAGCCAGCATCCTGTTTTGTCTTGGGCCGTGAATGCAGCACCCTTCCTTGCTAATCAGAGGGCTTTTCCTTGAAGAGAGATGGGTACTTAGAGGATGGAGCCAAAAGTGGTGCTTCTGGCATATCCTACTTGGAGGAGGAAGTGTGTTCCCCTCTTTTCTCATTGACAGAATCCATTGTGGGGGAGGTCACTTCATTTTCAGGCACAATGGCCCCTCAGAGAGTCACCTGGGAGCACTGAGTAACTAGGGTCTCATCTGCTTTGTAGACAGTGTGCTGCCACCACACCTGATGGAGTCCAGTGCAGAGATGCCGCATTCTTTTCCTACCAACAGGCCATCTTAGATCAAAGATTGGACCCAAGCACCAGATCAATTAGCCAAACTCCAGACAATCATGCTAACAATAGAGAATTCCCTGCCCAATAATTGAACTCGTGTTCACGTTTTTACAGATCCTTTGGCCATTACCAGTGATCTAGCTGTCTCGTCCCGTCAGTAACAAGTCCTTATCCAAGGTCGCCCCTATGACATAAAGGACTCTGGGAACATCTTTCCTCACAATAACCAAGTACAAATCAGGTCACTCTTTCTTCTGCACATATCAAACCTCAGTCTGCAGAGGCTCATGTCATCGCTCAGGGTGATAAATGGACCCAAATTTACGAGACACATACCAACACCTCAGACCTGATAGTGTTATTCTTGGGTGTTTGATCCAACATAATATGAAACCATATGGAGGTCTCTAACCTAAAGGTTTAGGCAAAATTGAAGAGACTTCCCTCCTCTGCCGTGGATACCTTAGTGACAGACCAAAGCAGCCAATGTGAAAAAACAAGTAACTAGTAATACAATTGAAGGACACGCCCTCCAGGCTGGGGAACGGTCCCTACAGCTGATGGCGAATCAGGCATACTTAGTGCCCCTCACCACCTCTTCTGGGGCACTTGTTATGCTCAGAACATGGTATAAACTTCTATAGAGAAATTTCTTAAGCTATCAAACATCCTCTTGAAACCAAAATGCAAGGGCTCACCAAGACACTCTAGAAATTATTGATACTATCAAGTCATTTATCAAAATACAAAACACTGGGCTCTTGAAAACGGTTTTTGGTGGACCTTGTACCTCTCTTACAACCCTGGGCTACCCCCTCATAGGCTGGCTAATGGCTCACTGAGACAAGCCTTGCTTTCCTCTTAATAAGCCTGCCTGCTGTTTGAGTCGTCAATTAGATTCATGCCCAGTCTTTCGGGCCTAGTACTTTGTCCTGATCATCAGGCTCATTGGCACCTTTAAGTAGAGCCTTTCTATACTAGTCCTTTCAGAACGGTCAGTCTTTGGTTTACTGTAATAGTGCCCCCTGGCCACCACTCTTAGATCCCACTCCCAGGTCTTCTTCCTAATGTCACCTGTAGTCTGTGTGCCCTGCATGTCAGTGCTTCATTTTGGTCACACGCCTTCCAAACCCTTCGATCCCATCGACCACAAATATGCTGTTTTCCTACCATTTGCACTTGTGTTTATTGTTGTGGGAGTCACTGGTACTGACCTGGGCACGCATGATGTCATTCAAGAAACACAGCATTAATGCCAATCAAGAAATGTCCAAAACATTCAAAATTCATGAAGCACACAGCTAGTGTTTGAGATGTTTTCCCTGAAGGGAAACCCCCTGGCAGCCATGGTAGCTGATAAC